CAGGGCGGGACCAGGCAGGACCCGCTGTTGCCAGACGCTGCTAAGGATTCCCCTGGGTCCTACTGCCCCTGGTTCCTGGCATTTTTGACAGGAACCAAGGACAGATACATTTTAATTTTCAAACATTTTTTTAGGGGCCCTGCAGGCCAGATAGAATGGCCCCGTGGGCCAGATCCGGCTCAGGCTTGTGTCATATGGTGGTAGAGAGTGGATGCTGAAAGGCAGAGCAAATGGTATGACCAAGGTTTTCCCACTACTGCTCTCCCACTTGCAGCCTCCAGCATTTAACAGCTAGGAAGTTCTGAATCAGAGACTGTATCCCTAACTCCTATGCTCAATAGCTACTAGTGCCCCTTTCCTCCAATAAGGTTTCCAATCCCTTTTTGAATCTGGCTAAATTGTCAGCATCCACCATATCTGGTGGCAACAAGTTCCATGCTTTAATGACATGCTGTGTAAAAAAGAACTTCCTTTTGTGAGTTTTAAACTTACTACCTATTAGTTTCATTTTGTGACCCCTAGTTTTTGCATTGAGTGACAGTAAATAATAAATCCCTACCTACTTCCAATTCATCAGTTAGTATTTTGTCAAGCTGCTAGAAAGCAGTTCTGCAGAAGGGCTAAATCGGTTCTGCCTCTCACTTCAGCAAAAACCACAGCTGAAAGAAAATGGGTCATTCACAGGTTCCAGTTGGTCCCCTGCAGCATTTGCTCTTTCTGAGCTTTGTTCATTAAAAGCCAGGACAGCCTGTCCAGATTTCTTAAGGTTCTTTATTTTTCCCCTGAAAATTAAAATGTCCATAGCCAAGATGCTCTCGTCTCCACCACACAGGGCCACCCCACAACAGGAAAAAGTATTGGTCTGCGACTTGTACACTCACCATGGGAGCACTAGCACAGACGTCCAACAGCAAATCCTGTTGCAGGTTGTCGGGTGCTCGCACTACTGCTTCAAAGCAGAACTCACAGAAAACCCCCTTCTCTCTGCAGCACCACATGTGCAGACACTGCTTCAGCCCATAGCAGCTCTACTACTCAGTGCTGATGGAAAAGAGGGGAAACAATAGCATGCTGCCCCAGCATAGGGAATGTGGCACCTTCTACTTTTCTCAGAACTTTGTGCATCCCCTGGTCTACAGAATCACAGCTCTTGTTTGTGAGCAGTTTCATTGTACCTGGCTGGTTATTTACAGCTTGTGTGTGTCACAACCCAAAGTTGTGGTTTTTCTCGTTTGTGTGCGCTTCGGCATGGCTAAATCATGTTCCCGCCAAATTGCAGCTCTTTTGCACGGTGGAGTGTTCTGTTGCAATTAAAAACCCGCGTGCAGGAGTTTTTCCCGCCAGTTCTGTAGCTTTCTTTGCATAGTGCATTCCTTTTGCATTATAGTGATGCACAATGCAAAGGAGTTCCTGCCATTTGTATTTAGATTCGTGCCACATTATTGGCCGGTTCTAAATGTAGGCATACGTGGCGGCTGGCTATTGGCTTCCTAGCCGTACAAAAGGCTTGGGTAGTTTCCGCCCAAGTCGGAGAGAGAGAAAGCACGTGGAGTTCGGAAAAGGAGCGTGAAGATTTCTAAGCGCTGCTGATCCCTACGAACCCAGCCTTTTCCTTAAGAGGGCAACAGAGGTTTAATTTGTTGAACCCACGGAGCTTCAACAACTCCGGGGGACCTATTTACCGAACCCTCGGAGCCTTAACAACTCCGAGGCACATAACCTCTAGCCTCTCCCCGTCGCTGATCACAGTCCAGACGTATCCCTATCCTAAGGACCCAGTTGTCAAACCCACGGAGTCTTAACAGCTCCGGGGGACCTGGGAACCGAGTAACCCACGGAGATACAGCTGCTCCGTGAGAACGAATTATTGAACCCGCGGAGCCTAAAGTGTGCACAAAGACGGGCCCGGCTCGCCCCCGGCTCACACATGGCGACCCAGATGGGATCGGGAGAGAACTCGCACATGGTGACCCAGGCGGGATCGGGAGAGGGCAGTGTGCTTGCTTGTCTGTCTGTCCTCTTGGGTTTCAAGCATGTTGTCACTGTTGGATGTTACCTTGAAGAAAGTGTCATATTGGACTCTAAGCACTGCTTCAATTAATAAAGTAAGTAATAGCTGCCATAAAGAAGAAGGAAAGCACCTTTTCTCTCACTGAAGATAGGAGGGTGTGAACAAATGGCTTGAAGTTGCATCAAAGTAAGTTTAGATTGGATATCCAGAAAAACTTCTTCACTGTTAGAACAGTGAGGCAGCAGAGGAGTCCGCCACTTCCCTAGGTGTCTCTCCATCACTGGAGGTGTTCAAGAGACTGGACAGCCACTGGTCAGGGATGATTTAGGCATACCTGTGCCCATGTTCTACTGTGGGTATTTCCCAGGCTTCTAGGTTTTGCCGATAGCCTCCACTGCCCCCACCCTGCCTTCCCGCTGTCAGTCTTCCTCAGAAGCTACAGTCAAGGCTGAGGACTAAGACAAGGCTGTGCCAATGCTCCTGCTGGGACCAAAGTTAGAGGTTCCTGGCTAGAGGGCCTTGCTCCTCTGCTCAAGACCAGACCAACACCATATTTGGGAACAGGAAGGAATTTTACCCCATGATCAGACTGGTACAGACTGTGGGAGGTTTTTGCCTCTCTCTGTAGTGGGGTGTATGGCCCTCTATCCAGGATGTCTTGAGCATATACTGACAACATTTCATAGCAGTAGGATGTTGGCTGCTATGGTTCCCTTGCTTTACCTGTGGCAGGTTAGGGTGTTACCTGTGTTGTGTCAGGGTTGACAGTAGTGTTATGCAGAGTTTAGATGATGGATTTGTATAGATTGGTTTGGATAGGGATAATCCAGCCTTGGGCAGAGGCTTGGACTAGACGTGACCTCTGAAGGTCCCTTTCAGCTTCACCTACTTTTCTACAATTATATGAGCACTGAGACTCACCCTTCTACCCCACTCCACACCCCATAAGCTACACACCTCAAAGCCACAGGTACTAGTTTCCAGGTGCCAACACTGAACCCCAGTCCTCACTGGGAGCTGGAAATACAAACACAGAATCCTGACTACCAGTCTTCTTCACTAACCACTAGATTCCCTCCATCATGTCAGAGCTGGGAATAGACCACGTGAATCCAGAATCTCAGTTCTCCACTCTCTGACCTGGGAGCCCCCAGCCCTCTTCCTGAACTTGGGATGGAATCCAGGACAACCCATCACCTGTTCCCTGCACGCACTCAGACAATGTCGCTTCTGCCAATGAGGTGTTTACTTCTCAGATTTAATTATCTGCCCATGAACTACTGGGATCAGGACACGGAGTTCTGTATCCAACACAAACAGGTCTCCAGGTGACCCTCGCTCCCAGCAACAAGGATTCTTCAATATGAGCAGCTGACCATGGAAAACTTGTAGAGTTCTTAGTTGAAATGCCCACTAGAAGCATCCAGCTTCCTGAAATCCCTTGGCCGAGTCCTTATTGGCTTCAAAGAAAAACCAAGAAAACACTCTCTCATGTACCTAACTGGATCCTAACCATCAACACTTAGGATCAGAAGAGAACAAAATATTGGGAAAAAATTAATTTAAACAACACATGGACAAAAATGAAAATACTTCAGTAAGAACTAAAAAAATAAAATAAAAGAATGAAGTCATAGAATCAGGTGTCAAACAGGTCAAAATTTGAATGATTAGACAATGAATGGGAACAACTTCTTAAAGCCTGATATTAAAGTTGGCATCAGTGGACCAGAGACCTTAGGCAGCCCTCCAAGGATATTTTCTTGCAGTTTATCCAGACCTTCAGAGTTTTCAAATGTTTCCCTATCAGAGAAGTTTCTAAGATCTCCCCAAGGTGCTTATGGTCTGGAAAGTCCCCTCATGTTCCTCATGGGCTTGTTTCTTTCCAAATATATACAACTATTGAACTATTTAATGAACTCTCTAGACTTACTCTACTACCTTGAAAGTCCCCCCCACCTTTCCCCCTCTCATGACATTCCCTTGCCACCATCTGCATGACACACTGAGTTGTAAAAGTTTCATGATGCAGCAGTGACTGTGAACCTGCCCCCACTGTTATAACATCCAAAGTGGGACAAGTAAGGAATTGTAGGCTGCTTGCTGTGTTTGCTACCTAATCTCACAGCACCTAACAATGATTCTTTGGCCAGTGTATTTTTCACAACCCTGGGATGAAGGATCCTTGAAGTGCATCACTTCCACAGCTCATGAGCCCTCAGAATGAGAAGGAAGAATAGGAAATGGTTTCCTCATGCACTCACAATAAGCAGATATTACCATATGAGGAACAGAATGCATACAGGGAGAGAGAAAGGCACAAGTTGTAGGAGACAATGGCTGGATAGACCCGATTTGGAAGGAGGCATGGCGTTTTGTGTCAGTGCAGACCACCTACCCAACAGCATTGTGAACTATAACAGCCTTAGTGTCTGATGCCCCCTGGCGTTTAGTCCTACCCTGCTTTCACTGTCCTCTCCCGATGGTCTCCCTGATCTTGTCTGCCAGGTCCTGAATGTTATAAGTTAGAAGTCAGCCCCCCACAGTTCTGCCAGAGGGGCAATCTGGTGCCTCTCCCCACAGTGCTCACCACTGAGCTGTTGCAAGTAAGTCACAGCCAAAATCATGGTGTGATAAGCCACTCCAAGCAACTGTTTGCTGCTTCCTCCCATTTACTGATTTTCAGCTGTCTGTCAGGCTCATCAGCGTTCCCTAGCTTGCTCCAAGCTCTCTATTCAGACTCAATCCCACAACATGCCAAAAAGCTCCACTCAAGGTGTGAATTATGGGGAGCTCAGGGTAGCTGACCCCCACCCCCATAAGAGATGAGAGGCCCCTTGTAAGATGTAAAATCATAACCTGAGTGGAGGGGGTCTCCAATTGGATTGATCCTTCACTTACATGGACTTGTTAAAAACATCCCTTGCATGAAGCCCCAGACCTTAGTGGACCTCATGACCCAAGTAAAGCCAAGTAGGGTTTGGCTAACCTGTATGCAGGGCTTTCTACTGTCTTCCCACTGCTACACAAATCTCAGACTAAAATCTGCACATCTGAAAAATAGAAAATAATCAAGACTCAGGATTTTCAACACTTGTTTCTTCAGAGAGTTCAGTAAAGGCTAAGTGTTCTGGCAAAGTACTTTTTTATTTACAGTATTTATTTTTTCTATTTGTACATACCTCTAGCAACATCCAAAAGTATTCACAAAGCTTAACTGAGTGTAAAAATGTTATTCCACTGGCCATTTGGCCTATCAACTTGAAATTTGGAAAACGCTGCCTTTTTCCATGAAGTATCCAGATTGTCTGAGCATTTATTTTTATTTTTTTTCTGGTACCTTCAAGGGCCCCACTTAAAGAAAAAAGAGGAAAAAGCAAAACAAAAGTTAAACATGCACGACTAAACTTGCACCTGTTTTTATGTACCCAGATGATTGTACACTTGAATTCAAAATTGCTTTTAGAAAAGGAGAGGGGGCAAGCACATGAGCACCCAGAAGTCTGTGCACAAATTATCAGGAGTGCAAATTCAGAGGCCAGGCTCGGGCTCCTCTTAAAACTGATCCCAAGTTTGTAGTTCTATATTTACAATGCTTAGCCAAGGAAGAATTCTTATGGAGTGCTCCCAAAGCTATGGTTTATTAAATAAGGCTCTGTTTCAGAGGTACTAAATATTTATCAGGTTCTCTCACATATTTATACTTTCCTCTCTGCACAGACCTGGAAGTCTGTTACCAACAAGCTTGTAAAAATGCTATTAAGAAATGGCTAATCACTGATTTCCATACATGAATTGGGGGGGGGGAAAAAAAAAAAAGTGTCAGGTGCTCACTTTTATTTGACTTTCAGAGTGGAAAAAGTTTACATTAAACTTATAGAAAATTGCATTTGCTTTTGCATCCAAATGGTAACAGTTCTCCAGTACATAACACATTCAAACGCTAGGACAAAGCATGGTCACCTGTTCTCACACAACTAGCTCCCTCGAAACTAATGGGGCTACTCACATGAGTAAGGCAATCACAATTTGACCATCAATGACTAGAAATAAAAAGGCTGAATCATTCAATTAGTGAAGTTACAGACCTGACCTCTTGCAGGAGTTTACCCGATGCTCAAACTTCTGATGGAGTGTATTTATGTTCCTTTTGAAGATAGAGTTACAGTCTTCAGTTTTACCTGTTAGTGGCAGGCAGACAGTGCTTGGGGATTTCTTCCTCCACTGAAATTGTATCCTAAATTGAAAACTAGAAAGTAGATGGAAGGCATATTTGAGGAAGAAAGCAACAACCCTTAGTTGCTGTTAGGGACTGCTTCTTGCCGTACTCACTTCTTTCTGCATACATTTGATTTCTAAAGCTTGATCCAGCTAAGAGTTGAGATCTGATTTACAGTCTGACCTGAAAGGGTTTCCATTTTTTTGTGCTCATAATTGTGTGGGTGCAAATATTTGCAGGTATAATTTTTCTTCACAATTATGTGCACTATTTGAACGAAGAGCAGATTTTGATAATCTGCTCCTTTAAATGCAGTAAAGCCTGGCATGTATCATCCCTGTGTATGAATCGGAATTCCTAGGGTTCTCTCTACTGCCATTACTGTAGCAATATCACTGAGAAAGTTTTAATAAGGATTCCATTCCCCAACCTACTAGGTCCAGATAACCTTACCAGGAAGTATGCCATCAGTCACTGAAGCTATCTGGAGGTACACGATGTTATGATAAAACAAGTCTCTTAACCATAACATGCCAGATTCCTCTTGGGCTCTTGAATGTCCAGTTCTTGCAATGTGCTACCTCTTTGCTCTGTCTTGATCATGGTAATCACCTGGTATTCCTTGTCATTAAGACAAGCCAATCCTTTAGAAATGATCTGAAAGAGACCTTGGATTTCACAACCATAGGCTAATTCCTCCAAGTGTTGATACTGCAGCCATCTGTGTCTTTTTGGCAGAAGGTCAATATAACAGTTCTACAACATGTGAACAAGTCCAACCTTGTCTCCTAAAAATGCAAGGAAATGCAAAACAATCCTGCCGACCCATTCTATAGAGCTGAAAGAGACATCAGTACCAGCTGACCAGATATGGCAGTAAGATGCTAGCTCTCAAATTCTCATAGCACAGAACGTGCTGCCTGTTACCTGGGGCTATTGTTTCCCTCTACTCTCCTCTTTAAAAAAAAGGAAGTATAATGTAAGTTAAGCTGAGGTTCAGAAATGCATATATTTTACTTAAAAACATTCATCTGTTCAAAATTCAAAATAAACTTTATGGGATACAACAGTTTGTCTTTTTTAAATAACATTTCATTCAAACTGTATATAATTTGTTAAAGTATTCATACAGCAAACAATGGTTAACCCTTGAAAATCTGTAGAAAAAGATTTTCACACAAAGAAATGAAAACAAAATTCTGAGGTATCACACACACACACACACACACACACACCCACACATGCAGGCTGCAGCAAAAGCAGAAAATCGTAGGCCCAAAGGAAAATGATGATTGATTGTTCCATTTGAGAGTCCAGGTAGCTCAGAAAAAAAAAAAATGAACAAACCAAACCAAAAAAAAACAACCAACTCACAACAGTCCTCTGAGTAAAGGAACTACCTCAAGAAAGTTCTCAAGTGCACTGGAGACCTGATCATCTAAATTGTTTCTGCAAAGCAGCTCCCTGCACCTGAGAAAAATGCAGCCCAAGGTGACTTGTGCAAATATAAGGAATCAGGTGAGGCTATTTCCTGTTATTCCTTAAATAGATGTGAGGGGTGTCCAAAGATTCACTTCATCTTTGATCATGCAAGATACTGCTGGAGTGCTGTCTTCGCCCTGAAATCACAGATATTCTATTAGTAACTGGGTTTGGGCTTTAATATTTCTTTCTTTTTTACTTCATTAATAAATCCAACTTATCAAACAGCAGACTAACATTCAAAGATGCATCCAAGCCCCCACAATATGTATACCGAACAACAGATATTTATCTTCCAGCAACAGTGCTCCCTTAACCCAAACCAATGTCCACAGGAGTCTTGTGTTCTTTACTTCTCTTCGTTTCAGTCTCTGACAGTTCCTTTATGTTTTCTTCAATTTTTTTGTGTTTCTTCATCTCTGTATAATAATTAACCCCCACTTTTTTCCCCTAGAACACTGCAGAATACAAATCTCACTATCCTCTACTCACCTGTGCTTTAAAATTTAAAATTTATTCCAGATTTGTTCTTTAGTGTTGGCTCATAAAACTTGTGTGGACTTCAACATTTCTGCGCAACAGTTTAACCTGTACAAGATCCTATGCAGAATGCCAGCTAAATGAATAATGTGCATTGCCAAACAAAGTAACAAGCAAAGAATCCACCTGTTCCTATTTTATCAAGCTTGCACACTGGGAGAAAGGGAAGATGATGTCTTTTATGGACAGGCTCTCAGAATAGCACTGGGAAAGCATATGTAAGATTCTCCCATCTGGAGGAAGAGAAAGAGAACCACAGAGGCAGGAAGTGTGCTAGTGGGGAAGCACGTGATCTGGTATCAATACAGGCCTCTCAGCAAAGGAGGATCCAAGTGAGATTTTGATGAAAAAGGTACAGGCACAATGTAAGACAGGGAGGAAGTATTAAATGGGGTTCCCCAGGGTCTGTCCTGAGTCTGGTGCTTTTCAGTATCTCCATTAATGACTGGATGGAACTGAGCGTGCATTTATTAAATCTGAGGATGATACCAAGTGGAATTGTATTGCAGGCAGTTAAGAGGATGTGATTTAGATTCAAAATCACCATGGCAAAATGGAAAAAAAAATCTGAAATAAACAGAATGAAATGAAAAAAAGGACACATGCAAAGCACTGCTTTTAGGAAGGATCCATCAAAAGCGCAAATACAAATGGAAAATGACTGGCTAGACTGCAGTACTTCAGAAAAGAGCCTGGGGATTACAACAGATCACAAAGTGAATATAAGTCCACAATGGGATAGCATTTGAAGGGTGAGGGAGAGGCAGCAGCACACAGGCTTGTATTAACTGGAGTGCCACATGCAAGTCACTTGAATCAACACAACTGGAGTTATGTTCAGTTTTGGACATGACATTTTAAGAAAGATGTGAACCAATTAGAGAGAGTCCCAAGAAGAAAACCAACAAAAATGAATCACAGATCTTAAAAATACAACAACAACAAAACCACACACACAAAAACACATGACACATGAGGAAAGGTTGGAAGAATTGGGGTTATTTACTTGAGAATAGAGAAAACTAAGAGCAATTCAATAACCTTTAAATATAGAAAGTATTGATTAAAGAAAAAGGATGGTGATTTACTGTTAACAGAAAATGGGACAAGTAGTAAACAGCTGAAACAAGGGAGATTTAAAGCTGGATATGAGGAAGAACTTTCTAACAATGCAAGTGTTTAAACACTGGGCCAGATCCCCTAGAGAGGCTATAGAATCTGTCACTAGATGTTTTTCAGGGCAATTAGATCAGCTTGCGTATGGGATTGCTTAAATTGAAACGATTCTGCTTTTAGCAAGTCCCTTCCAAGCCTGTTTTCCAATCACTCTTTTACAGACCCTTATTTTATTTCATTTAGTTCATCTCCTTTAGAGAACCTTCAGGTTTTGACACTGGGGACTACTTCTTCCCCATATTCTGACCCTTTTTAAGCAAATCACCACATAAAGGGACAGTAACATCACTGACTTTGTCAAACCACTGGTCCTTACTATGCATTTTCTGCTATTTTAAGGACCCTTTAAAAGCTGGGCATTTTCCCTCATGAAGGTATTTTTCAATTATAAATCAAATCTCAGTCACCTTTTTAATAAACTAAAGATAACTCTGCATCTTGCATGGTAAGGCATTTCCTTGAATCATTTGGGAGCTTCTTTCTCTGCACCCACTCCAATTCTTTCAATGCTTTTTATAAAAATGTAGGCCCCCAAAAACTATGAAGTGTTCCAATATCAGTCTCACAAATGCCAAACAGAGGTGAAATCACCGGTCTGCTACTCCTCATTTGTATGCCAGTCTGCATTGTGCATCCAACAATTTCTACAGGCTCTCACAGCCTTGCTGTTAAATATATAAAAGTTTAATTTGCATATATTAAGTGCACTGGAGCCCTTCACTGGAGAGTGGCCCCAGCTTACCAAGTGATTCACATGCTGAACGGTGTTAGGTCTGGTCCTGATCTTACTGAGGAACCTCATTAGAAACGCCTCCATTCCTAGATAACCTTCCATAGACAATTATTTTTTTAGATCAGTCAGTTAGCCCATTCTTA